TTTATCACTGTTATTGCTGTAGTATTTACAGATATAAGTTGTTCAGTATTGTGCTAGGTCTCTTCTGTGAATTTGGTAGCTTGTTATCTATGTTACGGTGGTTTTTGGAGGTTAGTCGACTTGAAATGCTATCGGTTCGTTAACCAGTTAACTGTGTTTGACGAGTATACACGTCATCTTAACTTCTTCAACGATGGATTATCAATTTTTGAGACAAACATGCATTTAACGAGTATGCACTTCGTTATTTAATTTTATTGCGCGTAATAAGAGATATTTTAAACTAGATTCCACACTTAACTGGTTAAGGGTTAATAGTAATTTCTTCATGATAGCATTGAGACGAGGAGTCGAGCAAAGATTTCAAGTTACGTAAAAATCATATGGGAGCAGTACGATTAAGTGATCGGTAATCTTCTAGCAATTAACGGACTTTGGATCCGGAGAACGCGTCGGTCGTCGTTCATTTTGATTCCAGGCTTCTTCCATCGAGTTGCGGAGTCGATTCGCTCGGCACGCCATCGATCCGAGAAGTTTCGGTCAGCGATAATTTAGTAGCGCTGATGGGAGCTGGAAAGTTTGAATCCTGATGATATGCGAGCTAGAGAAACGATAGTCAGCGCGTTGTTAGCGCAGAGATTCGAGTTCGTTGTCGCGGGAATTGATTTATTGCGACTCGTGTTTAGAATTTACCGGGGAATAGGACTGTTGCGGAATTATTTGCCAGCGGCGGGGACTTTACTGGAAGTTATTCGAATTCGAGGAGCAGGCCGGCTTCTCAGTTTCACGATATTGGGACACCTGTCGAGCGGAAACGGGATGGGAAAGAAATCTTCACGTCGTTGGGAGTCTTGAATAAATATCATCCAGAGGCCATCGAAGGCGTGCGGATTCTGTGTATACTGTGGGGCAACAGATGTGGCGTACGGTATGTTGCTCCTATAAAATCTTAAGCATTCTTTGCGGGCAGCTGGTGCCTCCGTATTTGTGATGTTTCTGCAGTTTCATGCCTTTGGGAAACTGTTTCTGGAGATTTACGTCGCGCTCAAGGGGGAAAGATTAAGAAATTTTATTGTAGTACGTATTTTATTGGTTCCCCTATAGCCGCGTGGTTAGGATTAAACTTTTCAGCTACCGAAAGTAGTATATTTCGTTTATTTTATCATCGCTTATAACGTTCACCGAAATTGGTGGAAGCTTTATTAACAAAAATTGCTGGAATCTTAATGAACGGAAATCGATAGAATCCTCTGGACACCGAAAGAAACTTTTCCTTCTAATCTTCGTCAAACTATAAATTTCCCTTCGTTCTAATCTTCCTTAAACAACTGTAAATTTTCCTTCGTTCTAATCTTCCTCAAATAACTATAAATTCTCCTTCGTTCTAATCTTCCTCAGATAACTATAAATTCTCCTTCGTTCTAATCTTCCTCAAACAACTATAAATGACGATTGCCATAAAGATCCTCAGTCCGATGATTAAAGTACTCGCAATTTCTCACGTTACAATCGAAAGCACTCCAATCGTTCACAGATCCATTTCCATAATTTACAATAGCAACTTTTCCTACGAACAATTGATTCCACGTTCCTTGCAACCTTGTCCGATCATCGAAACCGGAAAGTCGCTCGCGCCACGTACCCATGCGCCGCGAAGCCTTAAAAAGTTACAAGGCTTTTAAGTTCGATTGAGGAAGCACGTCTCACGCGCGCCGATCCGACAGCAAAACAAACTTCCCTCGGTGTTCTCGCTTATACTCGGAAATCGCAAAGTTCAGCGTGCCAGTTATCGATCAAAGGTCTAGTGACACGCTAGTCCGCCACGTTGTTTTCGCGATCGTTCCTTTTCTCTTTGTTAGAAGTCCGTTATTAATATCCAGCGAACGCTTTCGTAAAATTGATTTTCCCCGGTATTATTCTTCTAGATACGAGACGACGCGGTTCTCTGTCCTCTCTAGGATCGATTCTATAACAGAACGGCGGGTTCTCTCGTTTCCTCATCGGTTGTTTCTTTAATTCTTGACCGAGTTCCGAAGGAGGCCTAGTTTTCCGCCGCGGTCACTTATCCGGCTTCGTGACACGTCGCGGACGGTAAGTCGCGAACCAACGACCGCAATAGGAGTTCGGTTTCGGGGCACGTGTCTCCTCGAGATCTCTGGTTACCGGAGAAGTCGCAGTGCCGAGCAACCTGGCTTCTCGGCGAGACGATCAGTTAAGAAATTTCAATAATCAATAATCCCTAAAGGCAACTGTAGTTAATTCGGTTCAAACAACATTACAAATTCGATTCAGCTTCAATCCATATTCAAATTCATTGCAAATTGGATTCAGTTAATTTGTAGACTGAAACTTTGTATGCTTCAAATATGTTAAATTACCGAGTTGCTTGCTTGACATAAACTCGTTCGATCTTTGAAGTCTATCCTTCTCTGGAGATCTCAAAGATCTCGAAGATGGCAAAAATCTAGGATCTTGATATAGATCTCATACTCTGATAAGTCTCTATATTCAAATTCAATCTCACTGTCTCTTCACCATTACACAAGTCAACTTCCAAATCATCATAATATCCTAAACAACCTTCTAACACCTAGACACGATATTTCCCTCAAACTCCAAAAACACTCACCCACAGCTACTCTACCCTGTCAAGTGTCCCGAATCAAACTCATTTAACACACTCTTTGGCCCACAGTCGGGCAAGGCGCAGCGAACGCTCCAAATACGTCTCGTCACCTCTAGGAAGCTTTTTCGCGCGGCAGGACGGTATTAATTGCAAAAACCTGGAACTCCGGGGTCCTCAGCGAGTGTCAGGCCGCGCGTTCAGTTTCGCGCGAGTTCCGCTATGGAAAAGTCGGTGCCTCGGTGTCTCGAAAATGGGACACTGTACGCGAACCAGCTCGTGCCCAGGAAGCTAATTACACGAGTTCGCTGTGACTTGTCGGCGACCGGCGCGGCTCTTCTCTTTCAGTTCCGTTAGCCGACGCGAACGGTCTAGAGGCCTGCGGATGGCAGTTGTCTCGCGGATCCTGGCTCCTTTGAACGCAGCGCGGCCGTTGATAACGCTCCGCCGGCCTTTGCATCGGGTTCACGGACAGCTCGGTCGATTTTAAACACCGCCGAGATAAACCCTCGCGGAAATTTGAGGTTAGGAATACACCCAGTAAATCCTGACGGAACTACTGGCGGAAAAGAGTTAGGCTCGTCTTGTGGTATAATCGAGATTTTTGGAAGTGTTAGAAGCTTTCGTGTGGAAAGATAAATTGAATGTGGAGCTTTTGAATATTGGAAAGTAATAGAAATACACTGATCTTCCACAATAATTGAATTCGAGTCAGTAAGGTAAAACTAGCTAACATAGGAACATCGAAAGATTATAGTCGTTTTTCTCAGAATTCTTTAAATCATTAAAATTTATTATCTTTGATCAAGTTGTATGCTTAGTCCGCTCTGACTTTGATGATTTTCAAATATGTTGCCAAAGACGTGATTTTTAACATTTTCCTTTACAAAAGACAATTTTCGCTATTATCTCGGAAACTAAAGCTCTCCGTTCGCAACACTAAAGGAAAAAGTTGTTCAAAATCATGTCCTCGACAGTATATTCAAAAATTATCAAAATCGAAGCGGCTAAGCACATCGACAACTTTACCGTATGATTTTGCTACTGTATATACAGTGCGTATTTAAGTGAATACAGTTTACTTCCATGAATTAAACATTTGACGTACATCTTGACGAATATTTGCAAGGGTCCGAAGGGCTGTGAACCCATACACGAAAAGCCCCACAGCATGTAACGTATCCCCTTTGCCCCCGGATTCAAGGATTACCGTGTTCCTTGAGGAAGTTAGTTCCCCCGTGCTCTAACACGTTTTAAAAGCGTGATTCCACGCGCTGCAACTTTTACAGGCAATCTCCGCGAGCTTTAACGTTGACACACTTACCGACGAGGGTTCTTTTTCCCCTCGTCGCTGTTCGGGCCAGCCTTTCAGAAGGGATTTCCTCCGTTCGTTATCCGCGGGCGCACTTCTCCCTTCGCTCGGCGCCGGTTAAGCACGAATGATCGAGCGTGGCCCGAAACTCCGCGAAAATGGCGCGTTTTCCGCGGGATAATCTGGTCGGATGGGGTTCCCCCTAACTCGTGGAACGTCGAACTGTTTTGTATGATTCTGTTCTGCAAGCCAAACGAGGCTCGCTTTGCTCGGCTCTTGTATTTTAGAGGTTTTCGAGGAAATTTGTGTGCGCGTAAGGAAATAGTTGATTATTCTGGGGCATCTAGTGCGATAGAACCTGCAGTAAAAGTTAGGATAAGTTTCATACGAAATATTCATCACAATAGAATGAGGTTAATAATCGAAAGAATAGTTTCTATATTAAATATTCATCATCGAAAGACAGAACTATAGAATCAGTTTACTAAGGCGATAGCCTTCGTCTCCAGTTTCAAGAAAGAATAAATAAAAATCCTCGCGGAGGATCTTCCAAATTGCGAATCCAAGATACCAATACTTCCTCCGAGAAACCTGAGAGAGTACCCGCAAATATCCATCGCGGAAATAAGCAAACGTAACCGAGCAAGAGAAATTGAAAGTCAACAAACCGAAGAAACGAAGGAGCTCGAATTACTTCGATCAGCAATCTCAACCATCGGACTCCTCTCGAAAAAGGGAAGAAAGAGAGAAAGAAAGAACGAGACGAACGGGAACGTATTTCGAATCTTCGATCAAGCGTCCCGATCCTAATCGAAACCGATCGAATGCCTCAAAGCTAGTACCGCGGCGCTTTTAATTTCAGTAACGAAAACAAAGAAAGAGAGAGAGAAAGAGAGAGACTTGCTCGCGAGTCGCTTGGACGGCAACTGCCTGATCCCGAGGAAGCTGGAGCAGCGTTAGACGAGTCCAGACCTTTCGCGGATCATTGACCCTCCTCGAAGAGCGAAGATTCCCGCAGGATCTTCGCCGGCGAAGAAGACTTCGGCGCGAGAGGAAGAAACCCGAAGAGCATCCCGTCGGATCCCGGAATTCCCTTTTCGAAGAACCGCTTCGAGGACGACGATTCAACGCGCACCACGTCCTGCCTGTTCCGTTCGCGAATCAAGGGCCGAAGAATTTCTAACGCTGTCTCGGGCCGCGCCGGCTGCTCCCCTTTGACAATGGCGGCGATACCTTTCGAACGGAAACCGTCGCTTCTGTCGGCTCTTGTCCCGGTTAACCCGTTCGCAACGGACGTAATCGCGTGCCGCCGGCAGCACAATGGAATCTTCGTGCGTTTGTACCTTGCGAAGATCGAAAGAATGAGATACGAACTACAATGGAGATCCATTCTTTCCTCTCGAGCTATGGAGACTCTTGGAACAATCAGCGCTTAAACGAACTTCTTTGAATCCTGCTTGAACTAGATACTTTTTTAACCAATATTTCGTCTTTGTGATAGGTTCAGGGGAAGAGTGTTATTGTGTAGTAGAGTGCTCGTTTAAATCACGGTTCTCCTTCCGCTGAAACGGCCAAAGTGCCATTTAGACGTACCGAAGCGTCGTCCGTTGCGGATGCGTTAATGCTTGCGACAAAATGGCGTCTGGGCGCGACGCTCGGTCGGGCGGGATTGAATCTCTCCGCTCGTTTCGCCGATTCTCGAATATTTCACGATCGGAAGCTCGTCGATCGTGATACATGCTTCCGGGGCAGCTGGCGCGCACTTCAGGGTTCCCGCTGCGTGCGGGATCCGCGTCCTTGATCCAGGAAAACGGCAGCTCGTCGAACCGCCGCTTCTTTCCGCCGTATCCCGCCTTCGGCGAGTTTTTATCCTCGGGCGAGCCGGCAACTAAAGATCGGAGGTTTATCGGCTACGCTCGAAATCGAGGCGATAAAGTCGAGGGGAATGTAAAATCGGCCCGGTAGTAAATGGACGATAAAGATCGAGGGGGTCGGGCCGCGGGTTCTGCGACGCTTTGCGCGAACTCGGTCCTCTTGTAACGCGGTTTATTGTCTTTGCGCTGCGAGAGTATTAATCTGGAGTAGATTGTATTGGATGTTCACTTGGGTGAGCTGGTGTTTTATTCCCTTGTACTATGATTTCTTTCTGAACTGTGATCGATCTAACTACTTCGTTATTAACACTAAATTTACGTTTGTTCTATACTTTATTCTATTGTTCCCAGAAAACTACGTGCTCGTCTATATAAATCACGAAAATCATAGCTTCAAAACTAGAGTATTGCAATACGTATTCGCGTAATTGCACGAATCAAAATCGACCTGAACTATTACTAAGATAATGTTTAAAAAATTCAGTGTCCGTCAAATTGACGGGTTCCGTAAATCTAGTGTTAATAGCATTGAAAGTAAGAGAAAATTCCAGTCTTATTCTTCAACGCGTGCTCTAAGGTATAACCATTGATAGAGAAAAACAAATTGAATAATATTTAAGTTCGTTAAATTCTATTTGAAATCAATTGTTCTTCAGCGTTTATTTCTAAAGAGCATTCTTCGAGAGCTAGATGAACATTCTTTGAATCGATGTAAACTCACCATTATGTGAAGACTACCCAAGATTATCCAATATAGAAACTACGAAAGACTATCACGTTACGAAATAGCTGGCACAGATTTTTGCACCGTGCAGCAAAGACAGATTCCGTGTTAGAAGGGAATCGACCGCGTAAAGCCAGCAGGTGCACACCGAAAATTGATCCACAATTTGCGACGTCGGACATCGAACGACTCCAACGGGATCGATGCGCAATTTCGACGGAGTCCCTCGACTGAGTTCGGCTAAGCAACCGAAGATCTTTAAGGATAACGGAGGAAGAAGCCGGTGGTAAGGGAAACTAGCGACGAGCTGTTCCTTTTTTACGATCCGAGCTCGTAAAACGTAAAACGCCCGGCGAGAGGAATCGTCGGGCGAGTTTTCGAGTGTCCGCGCGGGGATCGATCGCCGCGATGGTCCCTCGGGGTTGTTACGGGGCGGATGGACACGAGATGGATCGGACAGGGACGGTTTCGTTGATCGAGCGGGAGGACGACGCGTCCGGTAGGGACCCACGTACCTTGGTACTCTAAATAGACGTAAGATGATGCCCTCGTTCTTTCAGAAAACAAAAATGATGACGCTCCCTCGACGAGTACCGTATTTTTCTTTTCCTTTTACCCTTCGTTTCCCTAGATGATAAGTTTGTCGAGACCACCGTCGCGCGCCGATTCGCCTGTGGATCGATCGTGGATCGCCGATGCTTCCTTTGGTCGCAGGTGCGGAGACGTTGAACGCTGCGGAAGATGTTATTGTTCGTAGTCGGTACTGCTTTTAGAAAGAATCCAGAATTAATGCGCGAAGTGTTCAGTGAGAAATATTCAATATATTGAATGAGAATTGCGACGAGGAGAAAAGTAATATTTCAAATGTAGTTCCTTTGTTCTTGATCTTGTGGTTATTTAGAAACTTAAACGTTATGATTTTGGTTGTTAAAGTAACAGACGGAGTTCAGGATTTTTGGTTAATCGGAATTGTATTGTAGTTTTTGAGCTTGACGAAGTAATTGATAGGTTAATGGACTCACGATGGACGAAGGAACATTTAGGAAGGATCGGCAGATCTACGATCGAACTGGGCTCGCTTTGATCGGTGAACTGAATACACAAATTCACTGGAAGCCTCGCGCAGGCGAGACAGGAAGCGAATAATCGGCGCTTTTAATTCGAACGACGATCGTCGTTCATTGTTCGCTGTAAATAATCGTGAAGCCGGCATGGGGAGTCTCGTGTTGTCTGTAATTAACTTTGTAATTAATTGTAAACGATCTAACGTGCGAAGATGAACAAAGATGATAGAGAGAGAGGATATATATATATATATTATATTATAATTGCAAATAAAAATAAAGAAGAAGGAATATATTATATATATAAATAAATAAATAAATAAATGAATGAATAAATAATTAAATAAATGAATAAATAAATAAATAAATAAATAAACATAAAGATACAAATATATTATACAGGTAAACGTACATGTGTACACTCACACACGAACACGTACGCGGTCAGGCGTGCGATTGAATAAATAAGGAGACGAGGTCACGCGTACACATTCACGATACACGGACACACACATTCACATACATACACACTCACTTGCAGCACCCTCGCGTCGCGCAATAAAATAAATTCTAAATCAACTTTCAAACTAGAATGCGTGCCTGAGTGCGTGGGAGACGAAAATCCCTCCGAGCCGTCGAACCGATTCTTCTCGAGCCATTTGAAAGTTTTATTCTTCCAACTGTTCGACCCCAACTTCAGAAATAGTTCCTCTTATCGTTAAATTTCTGATTAACATAATCAATCACTTATTGCAAGTTATCCCAACCAATAAATGGCTATGTTAACCTTGTGTAAACGTCGATGTTCGGATGAACCGCGTTTAATTCGCCATTGTTGCAGAATTCCCTCATTAATTCAGTAATCAATTTTACAGTAGCATTTCGATTCGGTTTACTTAATCATCAAACTGAAAATTTCCTGGAAGTAACGCGCGAATCCTGCGCGTGGTCGAAACGAAGAGAAGAAAAACCGATTCTTTCGGCGAGCCACGTCGAAAGACGCGTTTAAGAAAATCGCTGCTCGAGGAATGGCGGCTCGTCGGCTCGCAGGTCAACTTGGGATTAAAAGAAAAAAGACGTAAACGCGAATATTAATTAAATAAGAAGAGCAAAGAAGATAATTATATTATAAACGATCGTAGCGAAAGAAAAAGAATAATCGAGGATAATGTGCGTCGGGTTGCTTTTTCGTCCAATGAAGTTCATGCC